AGAAGCCGCCGAGTCCCAACAGTTGCGATTCGGTTAGGGATTGGGACTGCCAGCTCCAATTGTGTTGGAAGCCATAATATTACGGGGAATCGGGAATGGGCGAGTTTCTGAAGGAACGACCGCCACTTAGGCACAAAGCAATCAAATCAGATGAGCGGGATGAAATTTTAATTTAATGAATGAATGCGGATCTGTTGTATTAGTTGATTAGCTGCGAAGCCAAATCAAATCTCAGCCCAGCCCTTCCAAAAACTTAAACTCCGGGAGGCCAAACGTTTTGAGTTTTCAATTATAAGCCTTGCTCGAGGTCCCAGGGCAAAAAAGTTTAAATTCCGTGTGCGGCTGACAATGTCATTCATCATAACACATTTAGCCGTGAGCTTATTAGATTCCACTTTTGTGCCCAGGCGCATTTACAAGTTTCCCAAGCTTGTTCTCCAGTTTCTTCTCCGTTTATTCTTTGGCCCTGTGCTCCTTTCTTTTTTCAGTTATTCTGTTCTTTTTTTATTGAAAGCAGAGAAAACACAAAACAACTTTCCCCAACCCACACACATACGCGGCCAGCATCCGTAACAAGTTTCAGCACACACACCCAGTCACAAGGGCGTACATATGTCACGAGTAAAAACAATTTATCATTTAGCTTATCAAGACGCGCGGCCTAACGTCCATTATTTTGCGGACGCTACGCAGAGAATTGTTTTTTGATGATAGCCCCCAGTTGTAGGTCTTTTTCTGGACTGCGAGCTATGTGAGGGGTTTTCCGGGTGCTAGGTGAACAAACACGAAAATAGCAAATGTCTGAGAAATGATTATGGTTCTGCCCGCATGTGATTTACAATCTATCATAGCCATTGGGAATTTCGAATTACGCAAAGTTATGAATGGGTTCTAATCAGATGGGACAATGAAGTTTATTTGAGTTCAAGCTGCGCGAGATCTTCTGTAATCCATTAGAAAACATAAATAGAAACTGTATTTTAGAAATATATAGAAATTAATATGCCCTACAATTATAATTGAATATGTCTAGGTACTTTTTTTGGTGTAATGAAGCCTTTATCTCAGACTTACTCCTTTCCATTCCCTTTCTGTTTATTTTTAAATGTAACTTTTTAATTTTTAATCGCTCAAATGCTGGTAGTACCCAGGATAGACAATTACGGCAAACGAATAACATGTATGAATATGCCTCGGGAGGGGCGTTTAAAGAGTTTGGGGGGCGGAGCCGCACGGCCGCTCTCACGTGTAACTAAAAACCAACAATTATGCATGCCAAACCGCAGAAACCGATGCCACGCCCACAGCCCCCAACCCGCAGCCCACATCCCAAAGCCCTCGCGACGTCAACATAGCGGCGACAGCGACAACGGAATCGGAATTTGCATAACTTTGTATGAGATTCTTGCAACGCAGCCATGTCGAGCCACAATATCATTCATACATGCATGCAGCTCACAAACACGTGCACTGAGAACAAATCAATACCTAGATCAAATCAGACTTTGGTGTCAATAAATCAATATTATAATTTTAAGAGATCAGAATGGATGATGGATGGATATAAAATGAAATCCTTGAGTCAATTGTATATAATTGTAAAATCCCTTTTGATCGAGCTAAGAAGTTAGTCGTTCTTTAGAGCCTCACAAGTCTTAAGCAAATACACTGTACAGTCAAAGTTATACATTTTATTAAATATAGAATTTTTTCAGTGCACCCATACAGCCATGTCAAGCTATTAAGTCATTTGATTTTTTGTACATATCCAATTTTAAAATCCATTTCGATCGATTAAGGGCACTTTGAACCTTATACTTTTCCATCAGTGAATTTAATTTTATAAAATAACCAAATTTTTTCCAGTGCATCCATACAGCAGGGCACGTATACACTGGCAGACAATGTCAGTGAGCCGTCAACATTTCAACTTGTCATGCGAGCGGCAAAAGCGTGGAAAAGGGGGTGGCGGGGCAAAGGTGGGCACGGCAGGGTCGTGCCGTAAAGTCGAAGACGTTGCCCCGGGCTGCCACATGGCCTACCTTCAATTTGTCCGTGTGCCCCGCCATCCGATAACCACTGAGGTGGGTATATAGTACGTAGAAGTTACGTAGAAAAGAAAAAGCCCAACCACAAAACTCCAGCTCCAGCTTTTGTTGCATACTTTGCTGCGTTCGCTGGCAACGTATTATTTCAGTTACGTTTTGCGGAAATGCAACTGAAAACTTGCAATTTGTTTGACGTTTCGGTATTTTTTCGTATGAATTTATAATGCCCTCCGACTTCAACACCTGTCGTTCGCCGTTTGTTTGTTTGGTTTGGTTTGCTTGCGTTTGGTTTGGGGCTTAGCAAGGTTGGTTTCCTTTGCTGGTTGCTGTTGATTTACAATGCAGGCGATCCTCCTCCGTTTTTTGCCCTGTGGTTTATTGATATATCAGGCGGCATCGTGATTAGGCGAAAAGTCAGGAAATAAATAAGTCCACGTTCGCAGAGAGTGTATGTACACACAGGCGTATTTATGTTATGCCGCCGCAGTAACACACAAAAGGTAGCAACTTTTAATTGAAAAACTTGGGCACTTACAACTTGCAAGGCAGCGGTGGTGAGTCCCCTCTCTCCCCTCGTCACTCTATTAGCAGTTGCAGGCGTAGGTGTGGGCGTGGCAAGTGGCAATACTGGCATTGTCGCCGGCATTACTCAAGTTGTTAGCAATGTTTACAAACACAATAAGCAAATACGCGAGCGATGGCAGTAGCACCGGGAATGGCACTGAGCAAAAATTTTCTTAAAGCGGGATTTCGTTCTTGAAATCGAGAATAAGATAATGAGGCAATTAAAATACGGGTTATCGCTTTTAACCCTGCTACATAACATACAAATTAATTATTAAAATAGTCTGTTTATTTTCAAGTGGAAAGTAGGTATAAATATTTTTAAGAATATTTGTAAATTTGGATAAGTATAATTACAAATTTGCTTAGAATTATAGCCCAGTTATGTAGTTTAGCTATGCTAAAAAGCGAAAGCTAAAATACTATTTAATGATATTTAATGATAGATAAACATTTTAAGCCAGTTAAAAATGAATGGAAATAGTAGAAGATCTGGTCTTAATTGAATTAATGGATTAAGAATCCATGATAAAAACCGTGATTTCCATGTTAGGAATGATATGAAATAAAGCACTTTAATTTGTATATAAAATAAAAAAATAAAATAAATAACGCTTATAAATTTCTTAAAAAATCATAATTATTTTTCCAGTGTCGCTCCTTGTTGTTAGTGAACAGGTTTGGTTGACTTAAAGACGGCATCGTCAACACGACTCCTGTTTGCATAGAAAGTTTTTCCGCTCTGCGCTTCTTTTACCTCAGCCCACTGATAGTTAAACAGCGCTAAGCAAAGTCTGGCCGGGAAAACGTGCGATAAGTTTTCCATTTTGCTGCTGGGCAAATATTTGCCACCTCGCCAATCGGCATTTACCACCAGGTGGTGCTGGTGCAGGTGCAATGGCCATGACAGCGCGTTTACTCATCTTCCCCTTATTAAACTATCCATGATCCAGGATCATCGAAATAAAGCAATCAAATCGAATTGCTAAAATGCTTAACTTTTAATTAGCAGTCGTGGCGAAACACCAGCCAAATACATAATTAAAATTATGATTTGGCTTTTTGAGAACTAATCTATTTTGGCCCAATTGTAATTGGCAGACGGAAATTTCATATGCAAATTGTATTAGGTATCAGGGGAGGTCGGTCGTATTCCGGGTTGAAATGACCTGTGTTTCGGGGGCGACCAGCTAACCGCAGCGATTATCGGGATGAGGGGGCAGCTGGGGCATCTGCAACTGCAGGAACAATCCACTTGCATAAGGGAGCAACTGCTAACGCCCCCAAAAGCCACACGGCGGAGGCTTTTGCATATCGGTATATCATGCAAACCATAAGCCTATTAATAGCCCCTGTCTGCGATCAGACAAGCAATTAAAATTGACTGCTCTTTTGAGCGGATGCCCTCCAGCCACATGGGCCATCTCGCATTTCTGCGTTACCGCTTCCCCCGACTCTCCTCGCATTTACCCGCTTTTTCCGCCTTTCCAGGAAAATTGTTCAATTGGACGTAAATGTGTCGGCATCATCGCCACGTGCACGTGCTCCTGTTTTTTTCCAGGCCGGCAACTGGCAATTATTTAGGACCAGGCCGTCGCGTCGGCAAAACATTCATTTTTTCCCAGCAAAATGTCTTCTTATTCGGGTCAATGTGTGGCAGATTGTTGTTGTCATCTGACATTGTTGGCTTTGATTTGTTGTTATGGAATATGAGAATGGATATGTTTTCACATCAAGTATACGCCAGGTGGGATGGCTTTGCAGTTGGTTTATAGGTGGTTATTTAGTTAAGCATAGATTACGTATTTATTTTGTAGGAAAAAGCTCAGTAGGGAAAGATTATTTTGAAAAAAGTTTGGCAAGTTTTTAAGGCTTGTGCTTCTTATTAACAAAACAGAAACCTTGATTAAAGCTCTTCCTGTGCTTTAACCCAGTATAAGCTTTTATTTAAAAATCTGATATATTACAATGATTTCAAAACTAAAGGGTCCTTAATCCTTAAAAATTTTGAGTGAAATTAAGATTTATATGCGTATTTCTATGAGCAATTGATAAATTAATATTAAAAGCTGCAATTTTTTTGAAACTCAAAATTAATGAATAAAAAATTGTAATAAAAATGAAAATATGTAAAGCCATAAAAGTTCCGCACGCAGTAATTTTCTAATATTTCTCAGTTATACATAGCTTAGGTTTTATAAAGATTTTAAAACGAAATTTTAAAACTAACATTTTCCTAGATTTGGAACTACTAGTTCCACGTGAGCCAAAGTTCGCAGCACAATTTGAGCTTTTCCCAAGTTTCACTTTCATGAAAAGCTTGAAGGATGTTAGGTTTTTTCCAAGGCTATCAAAGCTTTCACAATGAATTCCAAAACAAAACCCTCGTTTTAAGTTGTGTTTTAAATTTTATTTAATCGTAATTGAATCGTTTGTAATATCCATAATATGTAAATAAACAATGCAAATCCAAAGCATTAAAAAGTTAGCTTTCTTGGTTAATCGTAAATCATGATAACTTCGACGAATAATCACCCAAATTTCGGGTATTATCCTTATTTAAATTTATATTTATTTCATATATTATATTCGTGCACTTTGGCCCAACGCGAAATTTGTAAATATTTGCACTTTGCTTTTTTTATGTTTACATTAACGATAATTGCCTAAAAAATGTTTGAAATCTTATTAACTTGTAAGGTAATACATATTTAGGTTAGCGTTTATGTCACTGGTAAGTATAGCTAGAATAATCCTTTGGTCTTGGTTTCATGACGCGATGAAACGCATGTTTTGTAATTCCTTTATCGATAATACTTGATAAATGTTAAACTCGCGAAAATTGTTGCTGTTGCTTAGGTTAGATTGAAACTCGAATTTGCTAAACTTACGGAGCTGTTCTCGATTGGAAATCCGCCCTTTGAGAGCCAAAATCGAATCGAGAATAGATCTGATAAATTCGGTTTAACGCTAGAAGTGTGTATCTTATAGGTTTTTTTTGTTTTTTTAATTTTGCAATATAGTTAACCATAGTCGGTGTACAAGTGTTACAGTAGAGTTATTTGGTATGTTTGTTGGTCAAGATTCCCTTCAGTAGTTTTGATTCGGTGTGTATCGGTTCCAGTTTTGGCTGATATGCAATCTTTCGAAAGGTTTTGTGGGCTGACAGTTGAGTTGTGCGCGTGCCGAAACAAAACGACTTCCTAATGGTCAAATATTCAAATTGGTATCATCAACAATCAACGGTAACATCAAATTAGCTCATTGTTAATTCATCTAAATTCAGTTGGCTAAATCTATAAATTAAATTGAATAACAATTACGAATTCCGCAAATCCGAATACGTTTTAACATTATTGTCCTCTGCGTTTTGGTTTTTGTGTGTGCGTCAAGTAAATGTGCAATAACAACGATCACAATAACGAATACAATTAAAATGGAAAATGTAATACAAAAATGAAGGGGGAAAAACTGAGCATCAAGTGCGTAGGATTATTCAGATTGGACATTGGGCAGGCAGAGGTGGGTGGATGCTTCTGTTCGGTATGCAATGCCAAAGTATCGCTTCAGATTTTAATTATGCATATGGCGCGGTTTTTGCCTTTGTCCGTAGATGGCGAGAAAGTGCTAAATGCATAATTAATTAATAGTATTTAACACACTTGCCGCGTCCAGACTAAACGAGTATTTACACTATAATATCGAAATCACCCAAACGCTGCGTTTATAATTAGTTGGGAGTTTACTGCTGTCCCCAAGGATCCGCTCATCACTACTATCACACTGCCCTCGTTTTCTACATTAGGGCGCAGCGGTTCCAACGCGAGGGATTCCGAACCCCCTCGCCCTCGTTCAAGGCCATCGTCTTGGATCGCATCAGGTTGAGATCGGTGCGGATGCTGGGCCGTCGGGCATTTGGGGTCACCACCCCGCAGGCATCGCTGAATCGCCGCTTGATGGACAGCGCGTTCTTTTTGGTTCCACCTACCGCGGATCCGTGCGGTGGGAGGGGCGAGGGTGCCCCAAAGACAGACACCAGACGACGATGGTGATTCGGGGTCATCTCCAGCGGCAGATTGGAGACCGTGAACAGGGAGTGGAAAAGGTCATCGATGCGGTAGTTCTGACGCGCCGAACACTCCACAAAGGTGCAGCAATTGTCCTGACCAGCGATGTAGCCCATCACTTCGTCCACTTGCACAGTTCTGAAAGGATAAAACATTTATTGGGATTATTCAGCCTCAATCGTTTCAACAGGTGTCACGGTAATCTAAACAGAAGTTTGACTGTCTTGAAAGTCTAAAGAAAAAGTAGTGTGGCATTTCACAATTAAAAGAAATGTGGAAAAATAAATTCAAAAAATTAATTGTCATTATGCTTTTTGAAACTACCATATTTATTTTTTCCATGACACCTGAGATTCTTTATTGATTGTACTCACTTGAAGTCGCGATCACATTTATTGCCCGCTAGAATCATGGGTATCTTCGGAAGACTCTTCTTCTTGAATCCAGAGCCGGGATTCAGGGCCGCCCATTTGGTCTCCAGTATATTCTCCCGCAGGCGCACCACCTCCTCGAAGGACTCTCGGGAGTCCATGCTGAAGACGAGGATAAAGAGATCCCCTGCAAAGGGCGAAACCGAAAACCATAAAGAAAAGCATTAATCGTTGTTTGATTTTGCAAATGTAAATTTATTGCTTATTTATAGCCCCGCATCTATGACCTACGCACTCGCAATTTTCCAGACACTATATGAAGCGGTCCTGACATCTGAAGCTCATCTCCGCAAAGTTAATGTGTTTGAGATTGTGTGTGAGGGCTGGGTTGTTTAGGGTAACTCGGATAACCGAAAATGAAGCATAGGAAAATCAATAGCCGCATGCCACTGATATATAAATACCCTACTTATTATTTGCAATTCATATATACTTCCATACGCTTTTAGAAGTCAAAAGAAGTTATCGGGGAGGCGTGACTAAACAACAAGTAAAGAATTATTCTAGAGACCAGAACGAATTCTAACAAACGTTGAGGATAACCTTGGATATTTATGTATATCACTGCTCAAAGTGCCAGTCGTAGTAATGTGTCACTATTAATTTATAATGCTGATTATTATTTCGAGCCCTACCTAAGTATCTTCAAATAAATATGAATACCAATTCAAACTAATTTGTTGGAAATTAGTTTTAAGGTCTTAATTACAGTTTCAGGTTTTTTACTTCAAATATTAACGACACCCTTGATGACCAGGGAAAGTTACCGAAAACAGTGCCCACGCCATCAAATCGTTTCAAAGGGTATAGAAGCCAACTTTGTTTACCAGCAGCTGAGCCTGATTTTTATGATAATTTATAGGACATTAAATGGCACCCAATGAAGGAAGTCGGCAACTTAAGTGATAGAACGTGCGTTCGCAGCGTTTGCCGCATATCCCTGGAATGCCGCACATACATGCAACTATTTGGTGTCCAAGACGTCACACTCACCAGTTAGAAATGATAAACGACGCATTGCGGGAAACGGATGATAGCCAGAAGTATCCAAAATATCCAATTGGAAGACCTCATTCCGTATGCGATACAACTTGCGATGGAACTCCTCGATGGTCGGCGTGTAGGCCTCCTCGAACCGATTACCCAGGAAACGTGCCACAATCGACGACTTGCCGGCGCGTGATGAGCTGCATGGGAAGGACGAAAATTGCAAATCGAGATTGGATTTCAAGCTGTCGCCGTCCAGTTGGCAAATGCAGAGTAACGTCAATAAAAGCTCAAAATTAACTTGAATGGGCGCCATACACTCGACGGTTTTTGCATTGAAAAAAAACTTTCGGGTTGTGAAAAATCAAAATGTCAAGAAAAATAGGAATTGTTCAAAAAATATTGTTGTAAAAACGAAGTTGGCTAAGCTCTAAATATATTTTCAACTAGTTTATTTAAAATGTCAATTAATTTGAATTTCATGTTCCAAGCTAATGAAATGTTTTGACTAGTGGACAGTACTTTATAAGTTCCATAAGAAAAGTTTTAATCGATGGAAAGTACTTTATAAATTTATTTTCAGGATACATTTACATTTTCAACCGATAAAAACATTTTCTTATAGATTCTTTAACCGATTGATAGAAAACAGATACCGATAATTGTAAATTCAAAGAATTTTAGTTCATTTATTGGTTCACTTAACATTGGAATTTTTGTCGTCCTGAATGTAAGCACTCTTAAAAAGCATTTACAAAATAATAATAAATGCATTCAAGAATATAAAATATTTTGTAGAAATGGTATTTTCAAATTTGTTACGCCCCGGATTTTCTCAGTGCGAATCCACAGGTCGTATACGTACCCGAGCATGACCAGTCGATAGCAGTTTTTGGCCGAGGGCAGGCTGTCGTCGCAGAGGGACAATCCTGCGCCGGGGCCGTAGATGAAGTCGTCCGCCTGCTCGATGGCGTCCAGATTCGAGTGGTGCTCCAGCATGTGGGCCTGGTGGAGTTCGGCGGTGGTGACCAGGCGGTTGCTGGTCACGGCTCCGTTGCTCCCGCTCGCAGTGGTCTCGTCCAGAAAGGTGACCACGTGGACCTGCGGCGGGGAAGCCTCATCGGTGGTGGTTGTGTGGGTTGGATGGGTTGGATGGGTGGTGGTTGAGTGGATGGTGACAGCTCTGTGACCCGCTGCGGTGGGGTTTGTCTGCTGATTGCTTTTGCTGCTGTTGCTCCTTGCGTTGTTGTTGTTATTGCTGGCGCTGTTGTTGCGGCTGTTGGGTGTTGTTGTTGCTGTTGTTGGGTGAATGGGCACCTCATTTAGTGCCACATCGACATAGTTGTTGTTGTTGCTCCTAGCACAAAACCAATTTTTGCAGCGATACATTTTGACTGTGTCATTTCCGCCACTTTAACTGGTTGTCGTCGGCACCGCCGGTGGGTTAATTTGTGGCTACAATGCTGATGGTTGTGGTGATGGTGGTGGTGCAGCACCTGTTTTCCACGATATACAGCCTCGACAGCAAGTCAGTGGCGGTTGCAATTTGCATTTTCAATCATTCAACTTTGTCGTTAACAAGCTGACATTTGCATATGTACTATACTATACCACTACACCTCAAGCCGCCTTAATGGTATAACTTTATCCCGGGCGAAATGCATTAGTCGCGCGCTTCCTCCGCGCCAAACTGCAAAAAGATGTAAGGACGTAAAAATACATTCAGCTCGTAAATATATAAAAAAAGTTACGCCAGCTGCTCAAAGGAGAAAGCAAGAAAGTTACTGGCGGTAAGTCTAGGCGCGCGAAAAGGGGGGAGTCAAACATTTTGGAGGCCATTAAGCGGGGTAATTGCCTCAGGCCCATCCACACGAATAAACCACACACAAAAACCCAAAGGGAAAATAGGGGGGAAATGCAACCGTAAAACAAAATCCTCGACTACCACATACCCGTCACTCCAAAAACCAGATTATCTGCGGTTGGGAAAAGTCCTCTTGTTAGCCAAATGCAATGATAATCCGATTGTTAGCGAATTTACCTAACATTTGCACCACTTTGCTGCTTAAGTAGTGAACTTTGTGATTTAAATTACCTTAAGCCTGAGGGAAGCGAATTTCGGCAGCTTTTTTAATAAAACTGTGCGAGTGCAAGAAATAGCAAATTAAAAACGTTGGTAAACTTAAGCTGCATTTAGCTATGTCATAATTGGATTTTTGCTTAGAAGTTAACTTAAGAATTTATTTTAAGTCTAAATTATTTTTTATATTAAGAATAAGAACAATTGGATGACAATAATAAATTAACATTTTTAAATAAACAAAATATGTATAAAATTTCGGGACTTTTAAGTTCTAGAACATGTTTTAGTTCTGGACATTATAGCCTCCAAGTGCGATAGCCGCCTTTAATTGGCGAAACCACGAGTTCATCAAAGTCAATGAAAAGGAAATTTTGAAAAGCCAGCTGCACTCTTCACATTAAAAGGGCTATTGGGTTGACCGTAACCCCCCTCATTCGGGCCTTAATGGGCATCTTGCCGCAAATCTAATTAACTTTGTTTTAGCATGCTACGTGCTCCTTGTACATCAGCCGGAATGGCCACATTGGCTCAACTCATGCATATCGCATGCAGCAACAGCGGGCGGGGAAGGAAAAAGTGGGTGAAAGTGGGCGCAAAGAGGAAGTGGGCGGTGGGAAATCAGACCGGAAAGAGCCGTTACCGTTAATCGAGTGCACCAAGAGCTCGTACTCGCGTTCAGATTTCAGCTCATTTTCCCCGTTTTCGTGCACTTCTCTTTTCGGTCGACAGGATGGTGAAAAGAAAAATAGGCGGATGAGGGCTGAAATGCCTGCTTACAAAAGGAATTCGAGTGGAAAATTTGCAAGAAAAGAATTCACGGCATAGTATTACACACAGAATGCGACACTCCATCCAAAAAACACGAGTTCCAGTCCCAGTCAAATAAAGGCCATTTAGCCCAACTACTGGTCATTTTTTCATAATTGATTTTGGCTTGCGGTTGGGACGTCCTTTCATCTGGCCATGTGTTTGTAAGGGGGACAGGACTTATACACCCCCACACACACACAAATGGCTCTTTGCCTTGGCCGTAAGAGGAAAAACATACAAAAATGGCTGCGGAAACGCCTTGAGACAATGGCGACATTTGCAAGGCAATGTGGAAATGGCTGCTGTACAAAAACAGAAAGAATAATCAACTAAGTGACGGAGCAGTTCTGTTATTTGCCGAGCACCTGTGCAGCAGGTTTCCAGAGGCCTCCCCTAAAAAAGGGGAGATCTTTATAAGTGCAAAATAAAGTTAAGAACTCAAAACTTAAAGACAAAAGTTTGAGAACACATTTTTAGATAAAGTTAGTTTTAAAATATTAAGAGGAAAGGAGAGGGTGCCTCATATATTACTAGGTTTTTTAAATAATTCCAAATGTTTCCAAATGTATGCAATATACAATATTAAATAAACGTGTTTTATTTTAAACTTTTAATATTGTTTTAGTGAAGACTCTATTTAAAGGCTATAAATTTAAAATGAATTATTGCTTATTGCGTTGCTGAATAAGTTTTAAACTTTAAAACATATCTATTTCCTTAACAGCTCGTGAAAAATTGTATGCCTGAAGCAACTAAAGCTTCGAGGATGCAACACATCTGCACTTACGCAAAAGTGTCAATTACTTTCCTTTTGTCTCACCACTTGGAAAACTTTTAAATAGTTTTATTTTATCATTCTTCGAAAAACGTAAAAGGACAGAAAAATCTTTTCTGACACATCGATTTGTACAGACTCGTGATCGAAGGTATTTTAAAAATAATATAAATAGATGCGAAATAAACAGGGATATCTTGGAATGCAATGCACGCGTGAGCCCACACTTCGCTGTTGACAGATTACGATGGTCGTGGAGTTAGTTTGCGTATGACAAGTGCCACTTCAGGAGGTGCCGAGCACGTCTGGTTCACACCCCTTTGAATGGCTCCACCCCTGGATCCACTCCATTGGATCCTGCTGTTGCTTGCTGCCCCCACTATCGTTCCAATTTCGCCGCAAGAGTCTCAACAATTTCTCATATTTGTTTACAATTCGCGCATACAAATGCGCAAGGTTGTCCGCCAAAAGCACCCAACACCTCCCACTTGGCAAACATCGCCACCCATAGCCCCTTTCAATGGGCGCCTGCCATAAGTTGTCATGTCGCAAATGGAAACGTAGTGTAATCGACACCCAATCTAAGGAATACACAAACAAAAATTGAGGTTTTAAAAAAAAAGAACTTTAATTCTTTAATAATAATTTACTAACAATTTTACTGTATTTATTTTCAACTGATAATATAACAAACTTAAAAGCGATAACCATCTCTATTTTAAATAATATAAAACGTACTTTGTGCTTGAATGTTGTTAATTTACATAAATTAAACCTTAGGAAAAATCTAGGAAAAACCGTTTTACACAACAAAACTATATATGGAATTTTAATATATATGTTTCAAAACAGGTTACCTATGCAACCTAATGGAAATATTCAATGACAAAACTGGTTTATTTCCATGACTAATAGTTAAGCGATTCTTGTTATAGGCACTTTTAAAATATAAGCAAAATTTAATTAAGTTCAGACAAAGAACTTTTGATCAGCTAAAATGTGGACAAATATTTGGTTTCACAAAATAATGAAAACACTTTCTACAACAAAATTTAATTAGTTTGTGGACGATTTTCAAAATACACGCAACATTGATACTGAAGGTCCTCAAATATGTGTTTATAAAATAAACAAAGCACGAAATTAAACGCGGGGAACTTTTGTGAATGAAAATCACAACAATTCGGATTTGTTCAGGTGTACGCGTGGTTGAGAAAACTGAGAGAAAATTCGCCAAAATGCCAGAGAAGCGGAGAACAAAAGCTGGAACAGATTAGCTGGGTGAGAAACCGCAAGCAGTGAGCATCAATTACGCCGACAACATTGAGCGATAATCGAACGGAGGTTATCTGGGGCAGCACCTGGAGCTTGGAGCTGTGTGAAACTACCAAGTCGGGCTAGTCAGGTTGTGACAGCCTAGGGGAAAAGCTGTCCGGCAATGGAACAAACCACCAGCAGCAGTATGGCGGAGCTGGCCCAGAATGGTGAGGAAATGGAGACGGATGCCTCGAAGGTGCCGGTCCACCAGGAGTACGCCGAAGCCCTGTCAATATCCGGTCGAAGTGGAAAACGGCGCTGGAGCAAGAGGTGGTGCCGCGCCCGGGAAGTCCTAAGTGTGGGCGCCATTTTTATCGCCTTGTTGCTCATCATCGGCGCCATTTACATGCACTTAAGACAGAAGCATCGCCTGGGCCGACTGCACATTACGCTTAAGGATCGGGAAAGGGTGGATGATGGCCTGGCGGCGGAGGACGAGGACTTTCATCTGGTCACCGCAGCCGCAGTGGGTGAGTTCTTCAAGGACCCTTGTTCAATCACTGAGAGCACTTCCCCATCAGATAATTTTATAAGCGGGTTATATTCTTGGGGTGTTCTTTTTTTTCTCTTCCCCAGTTGACTGATTAGAATTGCCATTAGGAGAGCCAGCAGATCAGCGTTTCGAAATAAAAGCGATAAGAAATACATGCTTGTTTCATTGTATGATTTGTTTTTATTATGCCGCTTAGATTTTTTTATTCGATTTTTAGTAAGTCATTTCAATTTGTCATAGTCATCATTACTTTTCCACTGTAAGATTATAGTGAAAAAATAATACAAATCTTTACGACTACATAGAAAGTAAAAATAACACAAATCTATTAAACTATGTTCAAAACAAAATTAATTTGAGCTGAATTTTGGGCTAAGAGTGCTTTCAAGTAAATATGTAAATGTTACTGAGAATAAGTATATGAAAAGGTTTGGTAATTGAACTTCATTTTATTTTGAACACTCCTGCACAGAAAGGCTTATTTTAAGCACCAATTTATAGTTTGTTAAACTACAATTTAAAGTTTCTTTGCCCAAATGGCTAATAGAACATACCCAATTTGTAGTTGGTGTTATCTTAAAAGTTTTCAACTAAAACGTGAGGTCTAAGAGTTATTTAGCCCTGGGTCACCCCCTTCGCAACTATTCTGTTAGCTATATTGTGTGGTAAATGTTTTCGTTTAAACGGCTAATTGGGCCTGTCTTTGGAATGCATTTTGCAGCTGCCCAGACGATAACAACATTCCGGCCATCTCCTAGCTCATCGCAGCCGAGCGACGAGTGCCTGGCCTGCATGGCCACCACCGCCACGGATAATATTCCGGCAATCTGCGGGAACCGAGGGCGGGGTAAGGAGCCGTGCGGCATTTATCGCATCTCCCACGGCTACTGGCAGGATGCACTGCGGACAATTGACACGGACGACTCACTGGCACAGGGTAAGGCATACACTGAGATTCAAATTGAAATGCATTTTGGATGCTAAATTCAAATATGTGGATCAATCTTAAGCTTTTGTCAAACTAAAGACCAACGCTTATCTTATCAGGCACTCATGATTTAAGTCATCTACTATTCATTAAAGCAATTAGTAAGCAACACAGGCTATTAATGATTATAGCCTTGTTTGCAATTAAAAAGATAAACATGACCACCCCCAACATGTTTAAATATTATTTCGACAAAGCCAAAATAGCCAAAAACAAGAAAGAAA